TTATAAACAGGATTATTAATTGCGGTTAACATTCCACGATATTACCGCATACACACAAGAGTGGGTCATTCCAAAGAGAGGGGGCTCTTTTACTTGCCTTGTTTGTGAATTTCAGAAACCGTTATATTACCTAGTTCAAAACGGAATTATATATCTATCTCCGGGCTGAGGTTTACAATTGAATAGCATTGAATAATTTTGTCGTTTGATCTCCGGCCTTCGATGACTTATAAATATGATTTAGTCTAAAACTATCGAGTTCAGCTAACGCTCTGTTGTAGTATTGCATTATCAATTTGTACAAATTTAATCTGATAACGATATATTTTGATTGGACTTTTTGAAAAACTCATCTAAAAGTATGCTGTATACGTCTCACTCTAGTAAATTGTCTATTGGTTAAAACGGCGCATGAATGAAAACGATAAGGCGTCGCTTAAAGTTTCAAAGAAGTCACGGGCAACCCGCCAAATTAATGTCGTTCTCTTTTTGTAATAAAATCCAATTGCCTTTATACTTAATTTGAATAATTAATCTAGACATGTTACTTTTCATATTCCAAGTGAAAAGATATTTTCACTAATATTATTAACCCAATATTGGAAATGTACGGTTATAAAATAATAATTAGTAAATAAAAAACATTTTGCGGCGTAACAAAAATTTAAATCATTTTATTTACACATTAATACTGCCTACTCACGGTAAACATTTCAAAAAAGAGGTCATATGAAATATCATGTACCTACATATCAATTAACAAATTGTATTGGTATTATGGGAATACTTAAAAAAAAAAAAAAACAATATTATTTTTTATAAAAGATACGGTAATATTCAGTTTGGGTGTAAATTATTGTAATAATTGTATAAGTAGACGCTTAGTTAACAATAACAAACTGTAGCAGTATTGCTTTCATAAATATATTTTATAGTTTCTAGTTTCTATTAAGAAGTATTGATAACATCTTTTTATTATGAAATTCAATTTGTTTTCTTCAATGTCTATCGTGTAAAACATTAACATTCTAGAACTGTATATACTATTATAATACTTGTATTATATTTCTACTTGATTATGTAAAACTTCCAGGTAATGATGGAAAAAGAAATAGCATTTACTGCATTACACAACTGAAAAACGTTATTATCAACTAAACTAGAAAATTTCTAGAAATGCTGAGATAATGATCTTGATTACTATCATCATCGTTTAAAAACTAAAATGTAGTTGTGATAAAATCTAAAATGTCACTATAAGTGTTCAAATACAAAAAACGTATTTCAAAAATGGTAATAAGGCTTTTAATCTAATCCGATTTCAAATTTTGTTAAACACGTTTAGAAAAGTAATCAAATGTTAGTATCTGATCTAACTTGAATATAGAAATTTTAATAACAATAGCAAATCATACTTATTATGTAGAAGGAATGTTTTTTTCTACTTTGCATAATATTTACTTTTACAATAATGTTAACATTTATTGTATTTTGTGTAATATTATTTTTCTCTGTGAAAATAATTGTTTTTCTAATTAGTTTGACAGTCATATTTATGTAATGACTGCAGCCTGTTCAGTTTTTGGCCCCTTTCATTTCTCATTTACCGAGGGGAGAGAGATAATGGCCTACTGCAGATTAATATGAGGGTCAGTTACATGATACAGATGCTTTTTCTCCCTCTACGTTTAGGGGTTTTGAATAAAATTAAATAAAAATACTGTATACCTATTTATTGAGCAGCTACAGGGGATAAATAATATTGTTGTTTTAAATTCAAAATAATAGAGGAAAATGCAAATTTTGTATCTTTTAAAGGCCGCCTTTTGAGTATTTTTTTTAAAAGCAATTTGTTATAGTATAAACAAAAATTAACATCAGCCTAATGAGGTCATCGAGTGTATTCTTGACAATGTAGACAATTATTTTTTACAATTCAGCATAAGATTTTGTTGATACAAAAAAAAAAAAAAATGGTCGGTACGTATTTGTTGTCCGTTGAACTTGGCTCGACGCGTTTCGAAGTAGAAATTTGTTTTTAAGAAATCGTAAGTATGTATTGTTAGGTATTACAAAACCGATGGCATACTTAAACGTGCATGTTATTATACATTTATGGTTTTTTTTGTTTTAATGTTGTCACCGTAACAGCCTAAAAGTGAAACTACTTTGTATACAGCTGAGATTATTGTCTCGCAATATTCTTAAACTAGTGGTAATATCGATGATTTTTTTTTCTTAAAATTTTTTTAATTTAAGCTATTTTTTTAAAGATTTCTGGATATGTTTCGAACAACGTGCATAAATATTTCTATAAAACGATTAAGATAATTAGAGCATAATATTATTTTCTCCAATGTAAAATCGGTATTAGGGTTTTAATATTTATATTGAAAACAAAATCAAGTAGTCTAATGGCCGTCTATGTAACAATTTATGACTTCTCATCAGATTTTCTGTTAAGGGTGACACTAATCATTTTGCTGGTTCGACACAAATTTCGTTTTTATCGATTTCACGCCTCTGCACACTGTCTAAAACGTACGCACTAATAATAATGTACATAATAAAATCCAATATTCTCCAAGGCATATTGTCTGCTAGTTGTATAATAATGTTAGGTCCCTAGAGCTGATAGCTGGTAGAGCGATTGGCACCTCAACAATACATAATGCAACCGCTAAAACGCCTACTTCTATACGTGCCTTGACAGATGTATATATATATATTATTATTCGTGTTTATTGAAAAGCTCTCATGAGACCCCATATCCGAAAACAAATACATTTTTTTACCTGTTTGTATGTAATGTATGTATGTATGGACGTGTCACAATAAAACCGGTGATTGAGGTGGGAGGAGGTGCCACTGTTCAAACACTCAGTTGAGAAATATCTACCCGCAAAAGAAGACAAAATATAACAAATAATATGTATTTATAGGCTTTATTATGTAAGCTGCACGTGCAATATTGTGTATAATATAATGTTCTAAATTCCAATTACAATAGTGATTGGTTTTCGGTTGTGGAACAACAACAGATGTGATCAAAGTGGTACTTCGGTGACATTGATGGGACAATGTTATTGTTATTATTATGGGAAAATATCGTGTGAGTTATGACAGTGCCTACTTGTGCGATGTGTGTATCCCTGAGGGGCCGACGATAATAAATTGGACTGCCTAATGCAGAGTGCTTGCAGAACCGACGTATGAGCTGATACGATCGTTTCGGATTTTTATTGTGTTTTAGAAAAAAACGAATATATTTTTTACAGTAAAAAATAGTTTTATGTAAAACAAGTGTATGTAGCTTTTGCTATATTGATTGCATAACGTATCAATAAATTTTAGTTTAAAGTGATAATATCAATTAAACACCTTTTTTATTTGTATTGATTCAATTTTACAATGTGAACCGAGAGTTAGAGTAGTTGTAGACTGTATACAAACCAGAGGCGTTGCCAACTATTATTCATTGTATTTATCTTATTTCTTAGATTTTTTTTTTTTTTTAGTAGCCTACTATTTGAAGCTGACTTTACTAAACATTTTCCCAAGTAAAATACATGTGTAATTAGTGTGCTTGTTTTGAAAGTACTACAATTTTAGTTTAAAACGTCGGCCATAGGTGAATTGACGTTATTATCATCGTAAAAATCAATCAAGTTCGTTCGTTTTTGCATGAGAGGGAAAAGGATACTATAATGGAAGGGTAAAACATTGATGCCGTTTGGGTGGAGGAGGGATGAGCTCAGCTGTAAGAGGGTGGTCCCGCATCGTATGGCCGTAATGATGTGTTTCGAGCCACGTGCAAATCACCTAATTTAAAATTGCTGCACGCTCTTAGCCGTGTTCCTATTTTTCCCTCCCATTAGTAATTCTGCAATGTAGTAATTGTTAGTTATTGGACACTGATTTTGGCCAGTCCCTATTCGTAGTCGACCGAAATTATAATGTAGTGCTTGAATCTTTGATAATTTTCTTTTCATGGTCCCTAGTTATTTTCGATGCCAAACATTGTATTCTACATCACCAAAGTGAAGCATGCAAGATGTTATGTAAATACATAATTGAATAAAATATGTTATATGTACAATTCGTTTTTTCTATGGAAAAAAAATGCATTTACATTTACCTCGTTCAGGTTTTATCAACTTATTGACCCTAGAAACTTCTTTGTCAAAAGTGTATCATTTGTAAGTCAAACCGGGGTGACTCTTGTTGAAAACAAATTGGTAGGTTAGGTTTGTTGCGTTGTTGGATTAATTTGGTTTACACAATGAGTTAAAAAAAAGTTTCGATAATTTCATGGTAGTAAAAAAAATAGCTTGTTTAAGCTTTAGTTAATATTATATAATTTATATTAACAACTACAATACTGTGTTGTAAATTATAGTATACATTTTATAATTGTTTCATACTTTTAAATTCGATTGACACTTAAGCTGTAAAGACATAATATTCCACCGATTAACGTTAATTTCTTTAACATAAACAATCGATACATACGTACTACTTCAGTCACGTTGAATTATTGTTGATCTCTACTATTGCATAGCAGGTATAACCGAAGGAGTAATAGTAATAAAATCCAAAAATAGCCGCATATGGTTGAGTAAGGTCCATAATGTTTTATTGAATTCTTTTTGTATACGATTTTTAATAGTTTTTCGTAGAATAGTAAATGCTATTGCTAGTTTTATTTTTCTCGCGATTTCCTCATAGTATTGCAGTTTTAACGTTTTATTTTATCTGGAGTGCGCGAATTTCGAATGAAAAAACAAGTATAAATGTAGTAAAATATACTAAATATATAGAAGAAATGGCCTAGTTACAAATTGCATTCCTAAACGGTATTGACTCCTCCCAAACAACGGTTATACGGTTTGGGTTTCTCGTTGGGTTTTCATTGTTGTGAAATTAATTTTACCGGTCGTGTTGATGTGTTTTTACTAATTTTCCATTGCTTTATGTTTTTTTTTTTTTTTTTGTTACAGAAAGAAAACTATTTATCGGCATGCTTTCGAAAAAAATATCAGAACCCGACATTAGGCTCATGTTCGAACCTTTTGGGCCTATCGAAGAGTGTTCTGTGCTGCGAGATCCCAACGGCGTCAGTAAAGGTAACAGCGGCCGTTGTTCTCGATGTGTATTTTTTTTCAAAAAACTTTTTATAACAGTGATTATTATTATTCCCCTCCCCCCCCCAGGTTGCGCGTTCGTCACGTATACGACCAAACAGAACGCAATAGCGGCTATCAAAGGCATGCATCATTCACAGACCATGGAAGGCTGCACGTGTCCTCTGGTGGTCAAGTTTGCGGACACCCAAAAGGAAAAGGACCAAAAGCGAATGCAGCAGATGCAAGCAAACCTTTGGGGTTTGGCTGCCACCGGTAACAATAGTTCCACCGCTCAGTACCTGGCACTCGGCGTACTGGCCAATCAACAAACGAACGTAAGTTAAAATCATTCAACTCTATTACCTACTAAGTACTCGTTTTTATGTCCGACGGGCAGCACTCGGCTCAGTTAAATTTGCAATGCTTTCAATAGGTTAACCCACACGGAAAAAATACATAGTTGGTCCAACTAAAATTATGGTCAAATAATTAGGGACACGACAATTTTCTAGTTGGAATAACTAAATAAATAGTTTGGCCGACTAAATTTTTAGTTAAAGCAACTGTACAATTAGAGTAGTCGGGCCAGCTATGTGTTTTTTCATGTGCAAGGAAATTCTAAAATAATTAAATGTTGCAATAAATATAATACACTTCAGACGGTCAGGTCCACGCGAGCGTGTACTTATACTGAATACACACACGTTTTATTTTAATAATTGATAGCTGCGTACTGCGATCCGAATAAAAATCATACTTCTATATTGTCAAGTTATGATGTCGTCAAGTTGTTTTCGATAATTTCACTTTAAAGAATAGCATTAAAAATAATAATCGTTCAATTTATTACGATTTTACTGTTATTGTGGTTGGCTCAAGTATTGATTTGACTACGGTACTTTAAATAACGTATACTATTATTGTTAAAATTCTCTTAAAACAACTTTCTTTTCACAAAACTGTAGTATATTTTTACGATTTAACGACTCAAGTTTTCAAGTTTTCGTCTTGCATTTCGGTTCATAATAACGAATAAAATATAATGATATTTTGTGTCGTATAATTTTTTATTCGTTTTATTGAATTGTTTCACTTAACTTTCAAGATTTCAAAATGTCATTGTTGAATAAAAATAATTCTTTTTTATTATAACCTCATCCGATTGACTGACGATGAGCCGACTTAAAATTCAGGATAAATCAGTTTCCCATCTTTTGTATGGCAATAGCCTTTGTACAGAGCGTCTTACGTTTTTTTCAGTGTAACTTTCAGTTATTATACAAAACACCCGAGGCGACGACAATATTGCGATTGCGGACCCCTTTTTTCGGTAGACTAATTTGCATGAAAAGAGTAGGTACAATAATATAGCAATTATTTGCTGCGAGTTTTACACGATCAAGACGAGTAGGTTCCTTACTACCGAATTAAGAAATGTGGACCGTTTTTTTTTTTAATGATAAACGATAACAGGCCTCGTGTACAGTTTAAAACGTTAGAAGCTCGTTAGTACTACATCCTGGATCTAAGGGGGTGAATTGATTTCTAGATTAATGTCATTCTCGGTGATCTAATTCGATACAAAAGCCAACAGTGGTATAGATGTGTGTGTGTGTGTGTAAAAACTCTTTAAAGGTTCGTCCACCGCACCTCCATCCGAAATTACCACCGCAGTGCGCCGTTGTTTTTGCCCATAGACATTATTATCTAAACAACAACGATAATTTGCGCTTGTTATCTGTCCGGCCCAAGCTATATACGTGCGTGTAAGTTGAGGGTTTTTTTTTTTTTAACTCGAAAATTGTATAATTTATTCTGGACAAAAAAAAAAAACTTCGGGGTTTTCACGCTTTTTAATCTTTGCCGCGGAGGTCTGAAAACTTTTTCACACCTTCGCGTTTCACCTTTGCTAAAAGTTCTGCTCATATAGATTACCCTGCCTCCGACACTGCAGACTAACGACGACGCTCGCCTCGTTTTAAATATGTAAATATTTCTGACTCAGAAATTTCATACAAACGCCGCATTTTAATGATTTCCTTATAATTTACCGCCCTACATGTTCGTCGAGCATACGATTCCCATCATCTTTTGCAACCGACTGCTGAATTCGCGTACAAACGCGCTGTAACGTGGTGTTTCTTAAGAAGAATTATCATTCAGACACACAACCCAACCCCCAATGCCGGTTGGCACAACTATTCATATTGATTAATCACATTGTTTGCGAGTAAGCAAATCACATTTCCAAAACTCGAGCTTCTATTTTTCTCCGTAGCGCCAACTTAACACGTACCTACCACCTACCTATACTACCACTTTTATTCCGTACATTCTCATACATATGTAACAGTAACACCAAAAAAACCAAAAATTGGTCTTACAGCTGAGAACATTCGTTTAGTATGTTAAACTCATTTCATTGCTAAATTAATAATTTATTGTTTAACAAAAATTGACCTTTATTGTATTCTGTACCCGTGTTAAATAATTATACAACTGCAGCTGCAATGATTTTTATACATTTTTAGAATCAGGTGGGACGATTGTGAACTAATACAAAATATGTGCGTAGGCATTTTATTTTTTCATACACCGGATTTTGACCTTTTAACAATTCAACGTCACACGGTTATTAAATATTGTGTGTTCGATCAAAATATGTTCGATTATTACTGTAAAATAATTGCAATGTATGGGACATACGTTCACAATAATTACCACCAACTGGCACTAAGCGAATTGAATTAACATTGTGGCATTAATTTTTTTTTTTACTATTTAGGGTGACACGAATTCTTTGTCGTCACAAGTGCTCCAGCAAATCCAACTGAGCGCTGCTGCTGCAGCCGTTGCAGCCAATACCAACACGAATCAGCTAAACAATTTGCTTCTTACAAACGTTCCAGGTAAGTCCATTTAGGGTTTTATTGTCATAACAATAACACGTGGTATAACAATTATTAATAATCTCAAAATATTACTAGTTCGTAATCATTTATTCAAATTCTCCACTGAAAAAAAAACCTTCGTTATTTATTCAGTTGCACTTTACACGGCGAAATTGATTTTTTTTTAACAACAATACACTAATGCTATTAAAAGGCTCTTTTATTCGTTAAGCCATTTCAATTTTACCGAAACAAGTTTCACACGATATTATTTATCGAAAACGAATATTTCATACCGCATCGATTTCGAAACGATTTGTGTCCATAATTATATACAGTTTTTTTTAACTGTTAATCGTTAAAAAATAATAATCAGTCTAGCACAATTTTGCACGTTATGCAATAAGAATAATTTGTCAATGTGAAATGTGTTTTAATGGGAGTTTAAATATATATGTATATATAAATATTGGACGTTAAATTAAAATAAATAAATTATAACAGGAAATGTTCTGTATACAATATAACACAAATATGTTATATTTATATTTTTTTATTATATTTACTGGAAGCAAAATATATTATCATTATTTATATACATATATATATATATATTTTGGCGTAGGTATTCATACAAAAAAAGAAGTCTAATTAATTACATATTAACGTGTGGGAAATAAATTCCATTTGTTACCCTTATCTGTTGTAGTTTGACTTTCAACACGTCCTCGTCCTTACTGCTGGGTTAGGTCTTGTATTATTAACTGTGTGTAAATAAATATTTTCTTCTCGTGTTCAAGTTAGTGTCCTTCGCGTTTAATATGTATTGAATATATCAAACAAAACGTGTGTACCAGTATAGTAAAAAATGGCACATTTTGTACATTACAATATTGGTATTTTTCACAATACTGGTACATATTATTGTAAAATAGACTTTAGGGAAGTATGTTCTAAAAATGTAGTCAATGTAGATCATGACATCTTTGTTGGTTACCACTTAACCCGTGGTAATTTTCTGGGAAATTTGAATTGCTAATAAAAAATAAATAAAAAAGAAGGGCTTTGTGTGTTTTATAAATTGTAATAATTGCGGGCACATTTAATATTTTGAAATCTAATTAATTCTGTGTGTATGTGTGCGTGTGCGTTTCTATGTTTCAACTCAAATCCAGGTGCGCTCAAATCCCAGTACCATCATATCCAAACGTCCAATTATCCCTTAAGTTTAGATACCGTCTCACCACGGCGTTTAGATTACAGCACCGATCCTTTCTATACAGGATACCAGAATTTGTCCACGTCGCCGCCGAGTTTGGGAGACCTGAACCCGGGCAACTTACAGAACCTGTCGACGTTGGCCAACCTGTCCGTCGGTAATCCAAGTGAGTATCTATACTTAAGTAACAACAATTATGGGTTTTATAATATGATTAATGCTAAATGAAATAATATGTCGTACCAAAGCTCGTTTTCCTTTCGCCCGACACAATGCTAAACGCTTTGCATAAATGCAGAAACTAAAACAATATTTTCTTTATAAAAGTACAATAGCGACTGTGTGGAAGACAATAAGAACCGTTTTGCCAGCTTGTTACCAACAACAACAATACCCGTCCGTACATAAAGCCATACTTAAGTTATTTTTCTTTTTTGTATTGTTAAAAACCCGACGTATATTTCCATCGGCTCCGAGAGAAATCTATACGAATTCAACAGTTTCAACGAGTACCGATGGAAGTCTTTTACTTGCTAAAGAAGATCAAAATACTCGGTCTTAAACTTAAGTATTATTATTCGTTTTTTGGAATTGCGTTTATACTTAAGTGTTAAAGTATCCAGCAAGTAATTCCGTTCGTCGGGTATAATAATATTAGCATGTTGTCTATACAGATATTATACTTCTATCTCGTGTTATTTCTATCGATATAGCCCGATCGTTGTTATTAATTTCCCCTTCGGCGCTTTTAGTTTATTTGAGTTATATTATTTTCTCGCCCTATTGTGCGTGTTTTAATACAACGAAGATCGTTTTGTTCTCTCGTTTTCGAAAGGCGTGCCGTTCCTTTTTATATGATATATAACGGACCATCTGATCTCCGTGTCGACTCTTAAAACATTTGCCATTCAATCGGACGGACGTTGCGATCCGTCTAATAATAAAAATATATTCTCGAATTCCAAAAGACTCCGCGAGGTTCGAGTAAGAGTCATTCATTTTCTTTATCCGTTTTTGGACGTGAGCCAAACATTTGCGGCTCCCCGGTATTACGTGTTATACTTAACCGGCAATTAACACATACGGTGCAAGTATGAGACACACGCCACATCCCCTTCGACTCATCCGTGTTCTGATAATCGACCATTTATTAGACACATGCCGCGACAAACTGCGACCATGCTCCTGTTCCACATTCTAAGTGCTACGACTTGGAAACAAGAGATGTTAGCTTCGAATTTAATAAAAAAATATTATTACAAAATTTGGTATAAATCATTTTTTCTATATCGGAGTGAAGTGCAATGAAATCTTGAAAACTTTATGCCCTATTACCGTTTTGTCATCATAAAACAATTATTATTTTAAGTAAAAACCTTCGGTTAACAACAGCTCTTATACTATTTATAATAATATAATAGATATTGGCTGAACAGAGTTGAAATTTTAGCCAAAAGTCTACCTATCTTTTAGCATAGTAAATGTACTTGACATTGAGACTTAGCTCGACTCCGCCATCTTTGAACATTTCACGAATAATTCATAAGGAAACGTATTTGTGGTGCGAACTTTTGGAAACAACAATATTATATGTTGCTGTAATACAATTTGTATCGATTTTTACTTAAGGTGTAATTTTGCCCCCAAAAATGTAACTTCTCAAATAGCAACGCGCAATTTCTATGTTTAAGTTAAAGTTTAAATATTCAAGCTATAATAAAGGAATATCGTAACTTAAGAAAACCATTCTCACGTCTTAGCCAAAATAAGTTAAGACTACTCACCATATACATTGTTGTTTACTTAATTGTTTATGCAAAATGAATGCAAATGTGCCAACTGGTAACACGATTACTAAATATGTGATATTTATACCCAAAATAAATATAATATAATTTTAAAGGTTAAATTTTTGAGTAACTAATTTTTTAAATAGAAATGTAGAGTTGAAATATTGTATATTTTTTTCCAAAAAACGAATAAAGGTTAAATTTAAATGAGTATTTCATCTTATCGAGTATTAATTATTGGTATGATCAAAAAGTGATATTACCTCTGTCAGCAGATCTTCTTAATCCAAGACATAGAGAATATTCTAATCAACAGTAGATAGACCATATAATTTTGAAGATATCTTGTTTTAGTGTGTAATTGTAATTTTTTTAAATTTTGTTTTCCAGTCGTGAACTCTGTGAATATGCAGAACCTTGTTACATTGGCCGCAATGGCCAATTCCTCACCTACAGGTAAATATTATGTACTTTAACTCCTATAGCATACAATAACTCGTTTACAATATATAATAATAACATTTACTACGGCTTTCTCGACCTACCACAGCTGACAGTAATAGATTGTAGGTTAGGTTAGATTAGGGAAAACCAGCAATAACCCCCTAAAAAATGTTTGAAAGACTTAACCGGTTAATTTAATTTTAGTGTGCACCAAAAATTATACTTAAATATAAACCAGGTTGTTTTTGTTTTTTTTGTTTCTGTACACTTGAAAAGACCTTAAAAGGATCGAAATTGTTGGTGCTCAAACGAACTCTTTGGTTTTTGACAGTTGTTAGTCAATTGAAACATAATTTGTATTACTTCTTTTTGCTTTTTTCCAAACTTGGGTGCAAGCACAATTTCAAAGCTTTGGGTTCCAACCAAAATTCAATAATGGAAGGGTGTCCCTGTGTACATAATATTCTATTATAATATTATCAAGAGGACCCCCCCGTGCATCGCTTACCTATTGCTCTGTCGGTTTACTCTCCACTGGTCTAAAGGAATAATTGAGTTCAATATGTTCACGTAACAAGGGCCATTAACGTTTTGGCGTTGTCTGTCTAGCATTACCATTATATAATGTCGATAATTCACCGTCAGTGACCTCCGGTGACTGTTGAACAGGCATTACCACCATTAATCTTTTTTTTTTTTTGAAAAAGCTCTGTCCAGCAAATTTTTTTTTTGAGTATGCACGAGCCCAATAAAACGTATTTTTAGGTAAATACCTAAAAAAAATCATTTGCTGGGCTTAAGCGAAAATAAATCTCCGAATTTTTCATTTTTTCTTTTCAAACGTTGATAAGAAAACGTGGTTTGATGCAATTATTTCTTACCAGCCTTAGTAGTTAGCTACACGGGTATATTATATATATATGTATGTATAAAACATGGTTTTAAAATTTAAAATTTCCACCGGGTTTTTAATTAGAGAAACGTTCAATATTGCACAAAGCCCAAAGCCCCCCCGAGGCCGAGCAGAGTTTTATTAAGTCACCAGCAAAGACAAAACGGCAATGTTACGTCAGGGAGCCAATAAAAGCGTGTATATTTTGTATGCAAGTTTACATTAAGTACAATATAGAGAAACTGTACGGAACATAAATATTTAACCGGCCCCGTTCAAAAATACATTTTTTATTAATAGCGACGGATTGTCGCCTTTCTTTTATGGCTGATGTTACGGTTCAGTACCGCGACCGAGAAAGCTTTAGTATATCATGTTGTTTTCAAATTGTAGCACATAACAATGAAAACAAATACATTTTAACTAAAATAAATTACAAATGAATTTTTTTTATATTTTTTTTTTTAGGCTCCAGTTCGTCTAGTCTAAGTAGTTCAGGTTTGTTTTATGTATAGGGGTTTTCTTTTGTTTGTTTTGTATGTGTGAAGTAGCATAATATGATGTATTTGTTTTTATTCATTTCTTGAGCATTTCTGTTATACATATTATGTTAATGCCGCTGTAACCGTTTATATATATATATTTTTACGTTAAATGCTTACTGTTAAAATAATTGCATGATGAAAACCTTACTATGTACACTTTGGCGTGTATTTAACAACTCTTCACGTTTATAATAACGTTTTAGAGAATAATCAGTTTAAACTATTATATAATATAGTACAGTAGAGTATCTATAGTATAGTACTTATGTAGTTATATCACTTAGCTTTTACTTAAACCAAAAGTCCCCAACGACAAATGTTAGAAACAAATAGTTTACAACTAATAGATTAATTAAGTTGTCTCAACTTTTATTGTCGATAATTCAAATTAAAAACAAATTGTTAAATTTAATTTACTGTTTTTTATTTTCATTCTGATTATAATCGTTCGATATCGTTTCTGTGTTATTTTCTATATTTTACTAAAATATTCTGTATTTTATAATGTAATAGTATTATATGCGATTATCAACTCATGTAATTAACACAGAACTGGTAATGGGAATTGAAAATAGTATGACTCCTCGTTTAAATATTCAAAGCGGGTATAAATAGGATACCTGTGTCCGAAGCTAAATTCATTATAAATTGTTTATATTACTAAGGTAACCAAGTTAAGTCAATTTATTGGCAGTCGCCGGCTGCATTAATTATCGTTGAATAAAATAAAATTACATTATTTTAAAAGTTCGCAAATCAAATTTATTCACTGAATCATTTAGAATTTGAATTATATGCCTACCGAAATCGGTTTACGCTTTTTTGCGAAATTCCTAGCAAAAAAACAGAGACCTTTTTTTTCTAATACATTACCTATTTAGTTTCTACAAAAGTAAATAGGCTGTTGTTAACTACTTGTGCACAATTCCTATGTAATATTTTGCACTTGGTAGTTTAGTGACTTGTTAAATCACTCTTAATAGGTGCCGTTAGTTTCATTTCAGTTACCTGTACTTCAAAAGTGACATTATAATTTATACGTAGAAATCGGTTGACACGAAGTATGGCAGTTATATGAAAGCTAATCGCTCATTTGAATAGTACCTCTTGTTAATACAGTGTACTATAACTAAGTCGGTAATACATAAAACTAAGTATTTCCTTGACAGTTTCTACAACAGTGTCACTACAGCCATTATTTCAAAAATACAAAACATAGTCTTTGATGTTTTATCATTTTTTCCCCTCTCTTTTTTTTAGGCCTTAAGCTGAGCATCCTTACATGTTTCTTTTTCAAAATTAAGTAATATATCTTTCTAATTTCGGATAGTGGAAGACATGAGAATTAATAGTTATGCATGTTCCGGTCGAGCGATTTGATCGAAAATACAATATTCTGTCGATCTTGTTTAGGGTTTTAGTTGTTTTTAATTTATTTCACAACCGTACACCGATTGTGGTAAAAAGCAAACAAAGAATATTACGATTTAAATGTCATTCTATTGTCCGTTGTAGTGGCGTAATATTATATTATATTATCGTACGTGTATTGCTTGGATATTCTAATGCCATAACGGCATAGTTATGATTATTCGATCGTCCTAAGGGAATTACAATATATGTACACACATTACTTGGATTGCATCGACGGGTGCACTTGTGGAATACATTAGGTTTATGTGCCCAACGACCACACGAATCGAGATAGGTTTAAACCGTATTGATAATGGTCGCATAACTATCATAGTATTATAATATCACACGCTAATGATCCGAGTTTATTTATTTCCGAATTGCATGCATGACGATATTATCATAATAATTTAGATACATAATATTATTATAACTATAGGCAGTACAACAGTATGTATATTTCGGTAACTGACCTGTGCCACACGGGTCCGTGTGATCCGGTTGCCGCGCACGTGTATAGTTTATTATCGCTTGTCGTAGTTTTTGTTTGTTTATGAATAGAAATGTTGTGTTTTTAATCATTTCATTAACTATTATATGAAAACCATAATAATATTATATCATTATTATTATACACTGTTGTATGTCTGTGCGACGCGAACGGCGCTCGAATTGAAAATCCGTACCTCCCAGCACGATTTAAGATAATATGGTTGCCCAACGAGCCCTGATAATGTGACCGCCAAACTGTCTTCGCTTAGAATTGCTATGTGCAAATCACTCCTAGCGCTTTTAGCGGACAAACCACAAAACCAGCATTACCACTTTTAAGAATATTTAGCTTTTTTTTTATTGACGCCTACAACCTGTATAACAATCACGATTTAAAATAATTATTATCATCGTTCTTAGTCCTTTAGAGATAATCTGATAATATTTCAGGATCTAAATTTTTAATTGTGTAAATACTAAAGAACAATTTTTCATTATTAATTGTTGTCTTGTTTTATAAAATAAAATAATACAACCCTGTTTATAAATTATTATTATAACAAACACTAGTTGAAACGTTAAATAATATCATTTTTACATTTCTTTGTATAACAAATACACATTTTTTTTAAATTTATTATAATATCAAGTGTTTACTAATTTAGCCAGTTTCTTCTTTGTTTTATTTAATTTTTTGTTTTTCTGGTTATTAATAAATGTGTACTGGCGCATTCTCATTATAATATAATGTGTACATATATCAGTCAAAACATTTTGTTTGTGTGCTGCACATGGAAAGTCAAAGATAATTTTTTGTTTCAAAAAGTCCTCGCAAATCTCCTCAAATGCATTTGGAGAATTGATAAATTGTGATATTGACAACTCCAGAGTTTTTATAATTTTATAAATAATACTATTAGGATGTGTTAGGTATCCTCTACTTTTTGCAATTATTAAATCAGCATTAGTATCATATTCAGTTGTGTTAAGATTTTTTATACTAGAAGCACATAATTGACATTTAGTTTTAACTGTCATGCGTTTTGCCATGTATCTATTACAAAAAATAAATGAAATGAAATGAATACAATTTAAAGTAATTGCCTAATTAATTCCTTGTTATAATGATAAAATGTTTACAAACTAACCCAGCTAAATAATATACTATTCAATCAAATACGGAAGAGTCAGAATAGTTGTGCTCTATAAAAATCTCATCTACATCCCAACATCCTTCTTCAGAAATGTTAATCAGCTTTTCTTTTAGCTTTTCAATTTTTTCAGATCTAACGGATGAGCTATCATTTAAATTTTTTACATCTCTCAAATCTTCTAACGTAATAATAGGAGTATTATCTAAAATATATATTTTTTTAATTTTTCACTTTTAAGTATCATGCAATATTTTACATTACCTTCAAAAATCATACAGTTTCCACTTTTTGGAGGTTTTATTAAAGAGTAAAGTGAAAGCATTCTGTATAATTGAAGAAATTATGGACATGATGGGTGGTCATTCGGACCAGCTACTTGTCTCACTATTCCGAAAAATTTCTGAAATATAATATTATTTATTTGTTGTAATAATTTAAAATGATTTCATAGATACTATATTTTAAAACGTGAAATTTAGTAAAATTAAGTAACATTACTTCCAAACAATCTGGATTAAATTTTGATGTCAGTACATAAGAAAAATGTTTCTTTTTAAGTAAGTAATTAACTGCATCTATTGTTGAGGCTATTGTTATTTTTAAACCATCAGCAGTATTTTGTGTTAAAAAATTATCTTTTTCAATTAAATTCTTTGTCAAATTAGATTCCCAACACTTAATCCACTCTAACGTTTGTTTTAACACCTGAAGTTTAATAAATAAAGTAAACATTTTTTAATGGATATTTATAAAATTCAAAATAAATTAGTATAACACATGCATCCAGTTCCCAAAAAGACAATTGAAACACACAACACATAATAAAAACCTCTAAGTCTTTGCTATTCTCTCGTATTCCTTCAGCAGGAAATTTTCTGTTTAAGGCATCAAACATATTATTTACTACAATGGTAAATTTGATGGTGTCTTCTGCATCATTGAAGCAATCATACTTTTTCTTTTTATAAAATTCCATTCCATTGGCCACAGACATACTAAACAACTGAAATATAATTAATATTCTATGTATTATATATATATATAACACAAAACAGACAATATTACCTGAGCAGCATATTTTACTTTCATTTTACTTAAGTTATTTAACTCAAAATGGTTTTTTGTTAGTTTTGGGCAAACTTTTAGGAGTGAATGTTCCTCAATTTTAAAAATACTGTGGTAGTGTTCCCACTTAATAATGGCATTATTAGGGTGAATCTAAGAATTTCAGTATTAATGGATATATTTAACCTTTGAAACATATTATATGATTACATACTCTTAGTGTTTTCTTCTCATATATACGATTTCGAATTGTTTTTATAAGATGCGGGGCATCGGAGAAAACAAATATTTTTCTTGTGCTATCAAATGGATTAACAAAATAGTTTTTAAAGGACTCTGATTTGGCACTTATCTAATGGTTTTAAATAAAAGTAATAAAAAGTGATATTAAAAATATAGTACATTGCATTATATAAATGTTAATTTTATAATACCCCTAATTGGTTCCACATTGTCCTATTCGTAGAAGCACCGTCACATGTAAGACCAATAACTTGCCCTCCAGAATCCTCCATTAACATTATAGCTTTTAGTATAAGCTTCGCTAAATCAACACCTTCATAAAAAAAAAAATACAATACTATTTCAGCTTTTATAGAAACTTTTTCTTGTAGCCAAGTATTCAGTAGTTCTACAACCAATAACTTTTTTTTTCAAAAGCATTCCTTTGAAAATGAGAAAAATTGATTTAGTTTATTAACTTAATTTTTAATTTAGCATAAAGAATAGATAAATAGTTAACCTTTGACTGTTCCATGTGAGGCAAATACAGCAATAGGCTGTGCTACATTTTCTGCTAGACTTTGCCACATTAAGACCAATGCATGATTTGCTTTATTGGAACCCTCAATATTTATTTCACCACCAAAATCTTCTAGTCCCATATAAGTCAAAGTTCGGCTATTTACACTTAAACTTTCCCTCAAAAATACTTCATCTAACACAATTACACCTTGCTTTTGCTGCTCAGATTTATTTAAGAATTTCTTCTTTAGAAGTTTAAAAACATTTTTGTCAAATCCACATCCTATTTCAACTGCTAACAAATGTGCTCTTATTGTGTTAGTACAAGGTAATGGTAATATGTTATTATTTCTTAAAAATGAATAACCACTAGGAGATCTAAAAATATAACATTGATTGTCAAATAAAAATTTAGAATTTTGGTTTAACTTCCAATATATAAAATACCTTATATGAAACAACAAACACAAGAGCATCCAATTTTCATTATACCTTCGATTTTTTGAATTTTTTACCTTAGAGGCATTAAATATTTCTTGTATTAAAGCTGCTTGGCATGTTGGTATGTTAGAATTTATTATGATGGACTGAATATCAGTTGATGACATTTTTTTCATTTCATTTTTAATTTTGTATAAATTATTTTGCAACCATGTAATTTTTTTGTGTGCTCTAATACACTTCTTTTTTACAACATTGTTAAGTTTTTTATTTTTCATTAACTGTTTTCTCTTATTTGGAGAAAAATATATTTTTGAATTTTGCCTAGCCTTTTTTTTTTGGATAATGTACCATAACCTCTTGCACCAAAGACATAAAGACTCACTAAAATATAAAATTTTAAAATACTAGTAAACCTTTTGTATATCTCCTGGATAGTTCATGCCTCATGGAACATATAGTTATGGGTACCTATAATTAGATAATATAGAATAATGGTTATTAATTATACCTACCTCATATTTGTTTTTAGTACACTTATGCATTTTACATGTCTCCACTGGTCAAAATAATTAATGAATTGTGGTCCAAATTTTGATTTTATAGAACTATATTTATTATCTAAATCTATTCCTTGACAAACTTTAATTTTGTCAAATAATTGTATTATATCTTCTAGTTCTTCAATGGACTTAAGTTTAAAATTAGACTCTATATCAATGTCTGATATTGTAATAGTTTTTCCATTAATTTGAAGAACTATGGCTAAATCTTTAAAGTTTAAATAATATTAAAAAAATTATTTTATATTATACCTATAACTAGTTAGTATGATAAAATATTTACATAAATTATAGCCAAAAAGAAGAATACATGTTTGGGAGATAATATAATTGTTATTTTACCTCTAGTTAAAACAAGTTGTTTTTCTATGTATCTTGTATAGTCTTTTTTAAAGGGACCGAGTTTATGAAAACAAACACACAGTTGATTAGAGTAACCACTTTGTACATCTACAAACCATCCTATTGGAACTTTCATTGACTTGTTGTATTTTAAAACTTGTTGAAATAATGTGTCCAATTTTAAGTCATTTATCTCCTTAGAGAAATAGCAGTGATCATGTCCAATAATATCAGTATCATTTATAACCTAATAGACATAATATTGCAGGCTACAATTATTTATTCTGTAGTTACACTAAAAATTTATATTATTGATTGAAACCTTAATTTTTTTTGTTGGAGGCATGACTAAAGGATTAGCCAAAGCACTGCAATCCAGGTTGGCTTTTATTGGTAAAACTCCTATTTTTAACCTAGGTTTTTTTAAACAAACCTAAAAATAAGTGCAATTAGTAAATACTTAAATAACTAGTGATATTTTGTAATTAATTTATTAATTATATTGAAATTTCAGTAACGCACAGTGTATTTACTAAAGCCTTGTCCTGATACCCATTGTGTAGTTATATCGTCGGACTTAAAATGTAACTCGCAAACTCTAGAGTTTCTTTTTAAATTTACCCCTAAATTTTCTTCCCAAATTTTTAAAAGATTATTATCTTGGGGTACACTAAAAGTACTTTTTGTCCTTTTTGACAAACACATCGGTACACAACACGTCATAATGATATATAATGTTAAGTGTTAATATTTATAAACTAACTATACGTTGTGTATATTATATATACGTAATTATTAATAAAGTACAGTTCACGATTTTAAGTATTATCATTTATCTTAAATCGTGGGCTCATCTAAAAAAACAACTTCATTATTTAAATATTTATATTTTGGCGGGTATTCGGGTTATCATTATTTTGGACTGCAACTTTTACGGCTAGGAGCGCTGTTGTACTTTTGTCCATGTCGGCCATATTATAGACAGTTTCGCGGTCAATGCGACAATGGGCTTAACATAGACCGTTGGGCAACCATATTATCTTAAATCGTGCCTCCCAGTAACCACTGGCTGACCACATCGACCTTACTACGGTCCTGGCCCTGTTACCGCGGTTACACAAATACAACCTAGACCGTGGTCCATCATATTGCGATTACGGTTATAGTGAGCTGTACCAAATGAAAACGGGATACTCTCCCAAGTTTATTTCAAACGATTTTCGTCCTACGCTGAAAATAACATTCCAAGTGCTTGTTCTTTATTTCCGCGAATAATAATTATATCGAATTGACGTTTGCCTTTGGCCGGGAACTCCTGCTCGTCATGACATTTCATATTTTTTATAACCTCAAATAGTAGAACGACTGCTTTTCTCTTTGGAGCCCTGTCAAATCCAATTCGTCCAAAATCTATAACACAGTGTACGATATTTACATTAACAATAGACAATAATATTTGTCGTCCTCAGACAATCCGGTAATATTTTCAATTCGAGCAGACCGACTTACCGCTTTATTGACAAAGGTATAATATATATTATGTTTTTTTATAATAATATGTTATTATCGCAGTGCGTTTCACGAGCTATTTTTATTTGTAGTTTAGTTTGATTTTTTATCAATTTAATTCAACTTTTTTTTTTAATATTCTGTTTCAGCTTTGTCGAGTTTGTCGCCAACGTCCGCCGCGGCAGCAGGTTGGTTTAGTTTTTGTTTTTTTGTTTTTACATAACTGTTAACATTTAATTGTTTATTAATTTTTTTTTTTACTAATCTCCTCGGTGTTTTTTAAAATGTTAATTTTCTTAAAGAATTTATTTTTCTCGTTGTAGTAAATAATTGTTTTTATCGTTTTTTGTGACTCCGTAATTTTTCTTTTCTAGTTTTAATGGGGAAAAACTCCGGTAAGTGGTATTGGTGTGAAATCGTGTGTGTTCAGTGTATATAATGTTGTTTTTTCCACAATTTTTTTTTAAATTTTTTTTTAACTTGTTTCTTCATTTTTTATCGATCTGTCTTGTTCTTTTAGCACTCACATTTTTCACCACTAATCACCACTTGAACAAATATTTAGTAACTAACTTACACGACTAGTTGTATATTAGGTGAACGGAAGGAACCAAAAATTTGTATACACTAAACGCCAAGTCGCTTTCCAGGGTATCTACTGAACCGATTTCAACAATTTTTTTGTTATTAAGTTTAACGTCTCCGCTATAGGGGCTTATGCCAATTTATGCCTTTATAGGCTGACTTTTTATTTTGCTTTTGATATTTCATTATAAGCGTTTATAGTTATAGTTTTTCTGACTAATAGCTAAATCAAAAAATCGTTCTCTAAGGCTCTTTTAGCGTTTTTATAGATAAAGTTTCTCATGAAAAAAAAAAAAAATTGAGATCCGGCCAATAGATACGCTATAAAGTGACTTCTTCTACGAAAGGTCATATTTTATCAACCTTTCGCCATAACTCTGAGAAAAATAATTTAATATCCCTTATCATCAACGCTTTCTCTATTGGATCCTTTTGTTTTTATCAGCATAATATTATCGGCCTTCGTTTTGAAAATGCAAACAAATATTTTGTGTTTACACTTTTTTCACATACCTACTACGCGTTTGTTATTGTCCACTTTTTTCCCTTTTTTTTTTTTAATTTGTTTATTATATTTCCTTTCTGAATGTATACTCAATGCGTGTATTGTTCAACACACAGGTTCAACACTATTGGCTGGCACAAACGGTTCTAACGGTACATACGGATCGTCGTTGAACGCGCTCGGCCTGACTTTAGCCGATCTCAACTCGAACCAGTTCACTATGCCTCAGTCGCCGCCTGCTAGTTCGCCACTTTACTTTCTGAACAATAACAACAACAACAATAGCCGTAAGTATATTATTGTATTTTAAGTATAAATGTTATCTTTTATTTTAAGGTGTTATTAGGAAATAGCCACACCCCGCAGATGTGGTACAATAATTTTAGCAGCATCAAAATATGACAGTTGATAAATTTAGATAATATACAAATGAAAGTTGTCGTACCTCTTTGAACATCCGCAACGCTTACTTGAATTAAAATCTAAAAGAAAAAGTATAATAATTATAAACTTCAATCAAATGCAAACTTAACAAACTTGCTTCTCTGTAGGCCAACTAAGCCGTTCATTCGTAAAAGTAATTTTTATAGAAAAAATAGTTTACCCAACAGTAAAAACTCATTAATTAGTAGGTGGGGCATGACATGGCAAAACTACTCATTTTCTCAGAAAACTGCATCTCCCGAAACATGGTTTACACGATGAAATAAGTAGTGTGGCGCAATCTTAATCTTTAGTTTTTTTATTGGTGTACACGGGACAAGATTATGCCCTACGATGAATAGTGGGGTGGTGAAATTATTAAATATGACTATGATGAAAGTGGTAAAGTAAAAATATAATTTGTATGAATAGCCATCCAATGAATATACATCCAATGGAGTATTTTTCCAATAATTGTATTGTCCTCTGCCTAAAATAAAAATAAAATGTTTGTTGTTTACATAAATAAAAGAATTTTAATTAATTATATTACACTGTATGGATACTGATGCCGGGTTGCATCAAATATTTACACAGAGATATACTCGTTTAATTGTAGTTAAAATAAATTCTGTTGCATGAACCATTTTTTAAAATTGTATTTGTTGTAAAAAATGAACTTTATTACGATTTAAATTACAGGGTCATTTATCGTGATGATAATGGAATTATCATTGATTAAAAACCCTGTATGATAATAATATTACTGATACCATTTATTCGATAACCAGTACACTGGTAATAACCTGAATATAAAACAACGATTGAGCAACACTCGTAAATTCAACAAAAGATAAAGTTGTACAAAAGTTAGTTCATTACCCGGTGGTAAATAATTTACCAATGATGTATAACGACAAGTTTGGTGCAACCGGGCATTAGTGTGAAATTACAGAAGTAATATTAAAATTGTTAATCGAGAGAGAGAAAAAAAAGTTAGTTTGTTTTGAAATTAATTCCAAAGCACGTCGAACCAAAGTACGCGTCGTTAAAATTGTAATATTTAAACAACAGTTATAATAATTTATTCTCGTCGATGGGATATTTAACGGCGACGGCCGACTTAAAGGGTTTCCGAATAAAATATTTTATGTTTTTTTATTCGAAATCGATTAACGAAATCGTCGGCAATCAATCGGTGCCAGTGTCGTCGACCGAAGGGATAAAGGGTTGAGGAAGCGAGACTCGAGTAAAATATATAAAGGAATTACGGTCGTTGCTTGGATGTCTGCTTTAGAACACCATAGTAATAATAATATCTTAACCGTTTTGGAAAACAACAAATATAAAAGGGTTCAACGCAAACGGTCGAACAAAGGCGCGTTTTCCTCCGTATTAAAGTCCCGTGCTTCCTTCGAGCAGCATAAAGAAATGTCCTTATAATTGCATTCAGCGTTTCGAATTCTTCGAGTACGAGAGAATGTGTACGTTATTTATCGTATACATCAGCTTTGCCGCTATTATTACTCGAACAACAAAGCACTATGCGATTAACAAATAGAACACAAACAAACATCCTATATAGTTTCACAAGCCGGGCAATATCCATTTGCTAGATAGAGGTAATCGATAGATAACGCTGAGTAAACTCTGTCGTCGGTGGCTCTTCCTTTCGTTTGTTGGTCTTATCAATAGTTGCACGTTGAACGACCGTAAACAGTTTAAACAGACAAACTGATGATAAACTCTTATTTTCCACGACAAAACGAGTATTCACATAGCATAATATATTTTCCATCTTGCGATTTTACTCAGCGCCAATAAAAATTCGGTTAATCGGTGTTTTAAGGTCGGCCTCCTCTTCATAAAAAAAATACCTGTCTTCAAAACTGCTACAGGATAGTGTCTTAATTATAAATTTTATAATATGTACATTTCAGTAGAATATTAATGTAATTGTAAAAATTGAGCAATAACAAGATGATAAATCATACATAGTTTGAATAAATAATTTATCACATTTTTGGCGAATAACTTTTAATAATTATAACTCCATAAATAAAATATAACTAGTTTATTTATTTTACAAAGAAATGTATTAATATATATACTCATAAAGGGGGCTGCTCATTACATAAATTGCCAGACAGACACAGCTCGCTATTCAATTTCCTAGTGCATTGATTAATATTTAAAAGAGTGGGTTATAATTAAATATGATTGTATAAGGTTGGTTTGTCTCAGATAATTTCGAATTTATTTTAAAAACATATTTTTATAAGTATAAATATTAAATAGGTTCTGATTTTACTATTATTATAGCGGGGCTTGATTAGATATGTACTACACATCAGCACGGTTATTAATAACTAGTAGTAAATGCTAGACAATTTTTGATAAGTATGTAAAAATTCTGTATTTTATAAATCGCTAAAACAATTGCTGGTCAACTCTAAACGTGGCGACATCTTAAGTACATATTTCTGAATATGTCTTTAGCTTTTATTATAATTTAAAAACATTTTTATACTTAGTTTTATTCAAAAAACGTTCGGTTAGTAAAAAAAAGGTACGACAACATTTGAGTAGGAGAAAAATCTACATACTATTTATTATAATATGTGTGTACAATAATAATGTGTAGGCATTTGCATAGGTCGCTTGCTGAATTTGGGTAGTGTAAATTATATAATATTATATGGCATCGGCTAAACGGTAGACACCTAGTCAATATAGGTTCGTGTTAAACGAATTGGATATATTCTACATGAAGTATTACCACGTTGTATATCAGCCTCGATGTGGTGTGCCATACGCCTTCTTTTCCCGCAGATTACACAACGATGGCATTTACTCGCCCCAAAAAAGCAACTACCCGAAAGTCATATAAAAATTAAGTGCTCCTCTGCTGCTATCTCCATTTTCATACCAGAATAATAACAATATCCGACGAATTCTGAAACTTTTAAAGTTCCCAAACGTTGGGGACATTGTAATAAAAGAGAAACTCTAGCTCTATAAGGTTATATTTGCTTCTTTTTTTTTTTCTCTTTACGTATACTATTATAAATGCATGCATTAAAAAAGTATTATATCAGTAATACCAATATATACATAAGCACTAGCCCCCCCATAATATCCCTGTTGCCTGCTAAAGTTTTCGCTTTGCTTTTTTATCTACTCGTGATCGTCTGAAAATATACAAGCTTCGATATGATTTAATTTTTTTTTTAACTCTACGCAAATGTAATGATTTATAGTATTTTTCTTAACCCAAAACAACGTTGGACATCGAAAATGAAAGCTACATATACACTTTTGCATATTATAGTATTATAACATATATACACGACTAAACGTTTGAGCCGCTTATTTAAGTACTTTTGTGTTGTTGATTTTTTGTTTTTGTTGTTGTTTTTTTTTTTTGTACTATGTTGTTGCGTAATTATTTTGTTTAGCTACTAAAGTGTCCGGCAAGCAAATCGAAGGTCCGGACGGTGCCAATCTGTTTATATACCATCTCCCCCAGGATTTTGCCGATTCCGATCTCGTGAACATGTTCTTGGTATTTGGTAACGTTATATCAGCAAAGGTTTACATTGATAAAGAAACAAAACTGTCCAAGTGTTTCGGTAAGTCACACACACACACACAGGCTCACTCACACACTCTTTCAATTAAAAACAATTCCTTAAAAATTGTTCATTCGGGTCGAGACTCGCATAGTTTTTTTACCAAAATATTACCATTAGGTGTTTAGGTTACTCACCTGAGTTGTGATGCTTAATTGATAAAAATAATTTGTCGTATTGTTTGGTATGAAAACTACACGGCAAAAGTTTAACGGTGCTAATATTTTTTTTTAATTTCGATTTGATTGTAAAATTTAAAAAAAAACTCGCTATTTTCCTTCATTCTTGATATAAATTAATAATAATTAAAAAATAAGACATTCATTTTTTGGCCAGTGAACTACATGATAATGATACACCCTGTATACTTGTTAAAATTTGTACCCTGTTATTGCCCGAGGTTACCGTATTAGAATTTCTAATAATATTTTAAAAAAAAATTTACCAATATATATTAAGTGCAAGTAAAGTGTAACATACGGTTGATAATGAGTCTACTACAAATCAAACTGGTTTAAACTGACCAAATATTATGGCATCAATATTTGCAGTTTCACACACTGTTCTGGGCATTTGTCTTGTCATTTATATTTTTTTTGTCTTGCTTCGCAGTAGTTAGATTATAAATAATATAATAATAATATTTTAGACTTTGCTTACACAAATATATAGACAATAATTAAAATGCATGTTTAACATTTAAGAAATACAGAGTTAAACGAACCGTTGAAAAACTGATGAACATTTAACTTCAGTTGTATATCGACAATTATTATTATTTGACTTTTAATCTGCAACGTTTCTTGTTTGAGTAACTTTTTTTTTTTTTAAATTATAAAATTGCATATTTTGCGTTTTTTTTTTATTCAACAATTTGAATAAATATGTTTTGTTTACTACACAATAATAATTATTATTCACTGTTGTGTCGAGTTAAATAAATAAATTAAGCAATATTGTTCGGACAAGCGAAAACACGGAATAAAAATTAGTTAAATAAAGTGTAACGTTTAAAAAAAAAGTATTTTAATTAACGAACTCTGTAATTCTACTTAGGGCTTATAATATAAATATATGTATGTGTGTAAAACAGGTTACGCTTCTCTAAATGTAACACAGTGCATGCAACTTCCGAGCATGACTGATTATGAGACACACTGAACATTTTTAACTCGAGGCAGTTAAAATGCTTTTAGTATTTCTAGAATTAGTTACAAAAATAATAATTATCTTTTTAACGACACCGAATTCCAGTTGAAATAAATTTCAATAATTTTTTTTGTATAAAACTATTTAAGTTTTTTTACTTGACTGCGACATTGTTTTACCTAAAAGTGGAGCAAATGGAAGAATTCGTTTTTATTTAATTTTTTTATATTAATTATGTTTTAAAAAAAATACAGGCAAACTGATTAATTTTAAGTTAATAAATCGCCCAATTGCACTTTTGTCTGAATAAAAAATTGTAAAAAAAAACCACAATAAAATCACGTTGAAATAATAATTCAAATAAATGACGTTTGCCTATTCATTTTTATTGCAGTTTAACGATAGTAGTGATTGAGTTTGTCGATAAACTTATACTCAAGTCAAATGTTTGCTACGAGGACTTGTGTACAAAATTGCCTTGCTCTTTTCCCCTTATTTCGTACTAAAACTCGGGTCTGGATCATTTTTCTCTTTGTCTGCCATTATTGTTTTATCCACAAGTCGCACTTGTACTTCTTCCTTCTTTGAATTATTATCTTCTAATTTTAATCTACTTTTAAACAACTATTATGAGCATTATAGTGGGAAATAAATTAAATTCCTCGCTGTTTAAAATGGTTAGGCTGTTAAATTCTTACCAAAAAAAAAAACCCCTTTTATGTGTGTATGTCCGACTCTATAATATTCACTACAAAACAAAAAAGCTGATAAACTATGTACCTAATACATTTGTTTGTAGTGTCAAATGTTTTCAGATTATTTCAAATGATCTCAAGATTAAAAGTTTTCTTCTTAAATTGAAAACTGTTGTACTTGTATACCTGGGCTTACATTAATTTTTTTTAAATATATTTATTATTATTGGTATTCCATACCGAATTTCACACATATGGGCATCCTTGATTTAAAACCTAAAAAAAAAAAAAAAAAATTCTATGATGAAAAATGATAGGTTAAAATTCCCAATCCTTTTTTTGGGTGTGTGTAAAATCCGGGTTTTGCCCCCCCCCCCCCTATTCCAGCTTTTTATACGGGTATTGAACGATTGTGATGATAAATATTATTATATTATTTGGAATTCTCGTGCGTTGTTTTTATAAAATTAATTTTTGTTGTTTTTTTTTTTTCGTTCAAAGGGTTCGTGTCCTACGATAACGCGTACAGCGCCCAAGCGGCCATACAAACGATGAACTCTTACCAGGTGGGCAACAAGAGGCTGAAAGTGCAGCTCAAGAGGCCCAAGGAAGCGTCCAGACCGTACTGAATCGTTTCCATCTGCGCACACACCCCACACAATCGTTCACGAATACACGCCGTACACAATTAACGCTAACAGATAAACACAAAAAACTGTCACAAACAAAATTACAAGTAAAATCCTCATGCTGTAACTGTGCGCGCGAATACGTGATTATACACTTGGTACATGTATTTTATAGATAAATATATATTAAACAACGATCTATATAAATGTTATGTGTGTGTACTGTTTCTTCGTTGCTCGTATTTTATTTCTGTTTAAACTATTTTTTTTTTTTTTTAATATTTTGTTGTAAAATCCACATGACACAAGACGATATTGTGAGACAGAAAGAAATAGGTATGTATAATATAAAATGAATATTGTGTAAAGACCAAAAAAAAAAAAATATATATATATATATATATGTATAAATATGATAAATTTATGAAAACGTAGTCAATAATTAATAATTTAAAAAAAAATTCTTTAAGATATTGTGTGAAAACAAAAATTTAGTTTTTGAAAATGTTTGACTTTTGGTTTTTTTTCTATATTATATATTATATATATATATATTTTTTTTGTTTTTGTTTTTAAAAAGGACCAATTTTCTTCAGTCGGTTGTCGGTGTTTTATCATGCTTTTAACAACTGAATATTATATACTAATAATATTAATACAAACTATATTATTGTTTAAGAATGTGACATTATATGAAAAAAAATAACGATTGATTACACGAAAAATTATTTTAGACTGTTTTTTTTTTATTAATATTAATAGTAGAATGTTTTGTCTTGTTTTGTTTATTTTTTGTTTTATTAAAAAAAAACACTATACCCTTGCATGTTCGGCAATCAGGGTATTATATGAATATTAATCATCTTAAAAAAAAAGAAAAAAAATATTTTATCTTATTTCGTCAAATATTTTGATGCCTATACTTAATACTATTATATTCGTTTAACACCTTGAATGGTTCCTGTAGTTTAACAGCACCTATTTTGTTTTAAATTTATATTTATATATAGTCAAATGTAGTGCCTATGTTTTATATATTAATATATTATGGTAGTAGAATTCACAATGTTTTTTTTTTTTTTGTTTTGTTTAACCGCGACAACGTTAATTTTTGTTCAGTATTAATTTTAATTTATTGTTTATTTTGCGCATGTGTTAATAGTTATTATTATATATTATAGAATTTTTTTTCAATTAATGCTGTTTTCAGTATGTAACTCTATACGTTATATTTACAAAGACTAATTATTTTGTTTTTTTTTAAATGATCCAATCATTATAATAGACGTTTAGTTTTTGTGCTTAGTGAAAAAATCGTGTTCATGATTGTGAGATTTCTGTTTTTTTTTTTTTTTTGTCTTTTGTTTCTCGTTGGCATTTATATAATATTGTATAAACTATAAATAATATCGTTGGAAAATGTTTATATCAATCATCACTATTGTTAACAGGCATTATTGTGATACGGATAGCCTATTTATTATTATTAGAATTATAATTTTTTTTTTTTTTTTTAACAATCATTTGAAAGCATCAAAATTAAACTAGTAAATTAGTCAAAAAAAAAAAAAAAAAGTATGAATGTTTCTTTAAACTAGAGTTTTGATGCTAAAACGATTTTCAACAAAAGATTTTTACTTGCATTAGGTAATGTTATGTAGAACTTAGGTTTAAAGTAGATAGCCCAAGTTTTAACAGATTCTTTTTTTTTTTCAATCCCCTTTCGGAAGACTCGTATGTTATATTATATTATTATTATTATTAGACGAAATACGTTGTAATCTTATGTTTTTGATGTTCACCTATAAATTATTTGTGAAAGAAGAGTTTTTTTTGTGTTAATTTTTTTTTTTTGTTCATTTGTATGAAGTTATATGATTACTTAATTGAAAATACAAACGCATGTAATAATGCTGTATATTCTTTATTTTGTAACGGATTTATTTATTTGTTATCACCGTCGGAGTAGCCATTTTAAACGCTTAAAGGTTCAAAGAAATCATATTTTGTCTGGTTTGTAAAAAAAAGGTATATAATATTTCATTAAATTAAACATTTTTTATTTATTTTATAAACGTTATTGGTAAAGGTAAATTTTTTCAAAAATAAGCTTCTAACAGCAAACCAAATACAGAACAATAAAACTATAAACTCGGGTATAATAATTTAAATTTTGAAACGACTAAACTCTAAAAAAAATATCATTACCTTAAGGAGAGTCAAATGACTTTTGTTTTTCTCCGTACATTTTTCTTTTTGTTGTAACGATTTTTAAGTCTAATAGATTTTAATTTATAATAATAATACAGTTTAAGTCATTTTCCCTGCGTTTAGCATACAAAACGCTGGTACTTTGTAAGTACGGTATGTCATAAATTGTATACTTACAACGCCATCTAGCGTTAAAAAAACGTACTCCAAAATAAACGCCGGACAAGTATACAACAGATCTCAGCACATATATAAATGTTATCGTTATTACATTTTTTATCTATAAATAGTTTATTATTCCAGTACTTCGGTAATTTAGACATATTATTTAAGTTCCCTTAAATAAAATATCTAAATTACCTGAAACCTGAACAAATTTAGAAAATGGCTATTATTTTTTTTTAATTGTTCAGTATTTTATAAAACAAATTGTCTGGTCACAAAGAATTATTCAGAATGAGAAAACTGATCATCAATTGACATTTAAAAAAAATATATTATTTATAATTTACAAATAAAGTGTATATCGACCTTAAATTTTGATACTATCATCTGTTAGTTCATATTTAAAAGTAAGTTGTTAATTATTTTCGAAATGGTTCCAGCGAGGAAGTGTAGCTTATAGTTTTAAAGTGTAGAAATATGACGATGAAATTAATAAATTACTAGTCCGTTAATTTGATAAAATTTAGTAATTATTTGATAAAAAAAAAAAAAATACTACTTATTTCAAATTGCGTTATGTTATATAACTGAAAATAACATGAACATAGTTTTCCTGTAATCTTTTGGTTTTCTAATAAAAAGTTAATATCACATTATACATAAAATAAATAAACAAAAAATGAGTCAATATTGTTCTAGTATATTTTAATTTCTTGATTTTTAAAAAAATCTAGTAAATCTTATTCTTTATATTTGCCTTATAATTCCAACAACATGGGGTTGGCCACCTTAGTCCTACACCTCCATAGAGCTTGATCTTGTACATCTCGTTCAATCCAGCTATCTTAATATTACTCTCTATTTCATCTATCCATCTTTTCTTCGGTCTTCCTCTTCCTCTTTTTCCCTCTACATTCATCTACATAACACCTCTAACTGCCTCTGTCTCATATCTTTTCACAACATGACCGAACCATCTCAACCTATTCTCTCACATTTTCCTCACAATTGGTGCAACTCCTAGACTTCCCCTTGTGTATTAATTTCTTTTCTTATTCTATCCTCTCTAGTCTCTCTCCACTCATCCATCTAAACATTCTCATCTCCGCTATACTCATTATCTGTTCAGTTGTCTTGTCTACTGCCTAACATGCCGACCCCGACTTGGCAAGCGTTTTTAAAATGATTTACAATAAATATATTAAAAATCTCTCTGTTGCTTTATTATATTATTAAAGGTACTATTCGATTAAATTATTTATTTCTAAAATATATTATAAACTTAACGATGCGACAACGGATGTGTTTCACTACATTGACATACCTATAAAGTTTTTTTTAAAAATATTCCAGTTCTTAGTGGCCCTATTTAAAAGTGTTATTACCTAACGTTAATGTGTCGTAGCACACCATACTTGAAATGCTACGGTTGTAATATTATGATTATAATCCCATCCGGTACGGTTAACGCCAATAAACAGTAGAAAGCTTTTTATTTTCTGCAAACATAAAATTGTTTTCCTCTTCTTCTCCTTCTTTTTCTTATTATTATTCGAAATCGTGTTAAACCTAACCGACCCAACTTAACCGGTGGCTGCCATCGTAACTACTTCGGTAATTTGGTCTTTTTGGTTATTATTTTTAGACTTCAGTTCCAATAGCTGTACTTACAGCGCATAAATAACGAAATAATTACCATGTAGATAGTTATAAATTATAACACAGCTAATAATGAGTCTGGTGCACACACGGATTCTGATATAGCGAAATAACGTTGTTCCAATTTACTATACTTACATAAATTATAATAATCGTATAACGCTGAAGCTGAAGTGGAAGTGAAAATGTATAATACGACAAACAAATTATACCATATAGTATTAAATTACATCTTAGCCGAGTAAAAATTTATTGAACTTGCACATCAACAAAAAAAAAACCACTCGATGAACATTGTTTGACCATTACCGCGACAATAAGCTATGAAAATATTGACATAACAATATTGATTAACCATGATGAACATGGTATTTTCAGAGAACGAATAAATAATTTAAAAAACATCGGCCGTCCAGGTACTTAGTGTCTAGTTTATAAGTATATAGAAGTTATACAAAAATGAGACAATACAATTTACTAACGTACACAGAATCAGAACACATACACGAAGTCAGTAATTCTAAAGTTGATTCAAAATTGAATTAAATGTATAAAATGACCAAAATCAAACAGGCGACCACGTTGAGTGAATATTATACTAGCATTGTCTCTTAGCTGTCGTGTCGTTCGTTAATAAGACGAATTCAAAATTTTGCCCACGAATCGATCCCGGAAGTAAAAAGTCTGATAGCACTTCAGACTACCTTGGCGGAAAAACTTGAAAAAGTACAATGAAGTTATGGGCAAAAGCGAAGCCCGTATACTCCGGATGAACGTTTTCAACGAATCGATGTTTGTTTCCATCGATTTTGTGGCAATCTCTTGTTGGCTGTTGCCGCCGAGTAGCTCTGGTCGTATGTCGGCTTTGGCACCGAGTTCCATTAGACTTATATTTAAGATCTCCGTGGTTTGTTTGATGAGCACGCCCAACATTCGGTCGTTTAGACGGTCGGCCGAGTGATAGTGGAGAATTTTTTTGAAAAACTTATCGTTTTCGATGTCCAACAGCTGTTCGTTGACGATCAACGCGAAATGATAAATGAGCAAATACCTACTCAGACTTTCCTGCCGGATCAAGTCGTCCGGCGGTGACGACGACGACCGATTCATTTGCCGTCTAATCAGCTTGTACACGGTCAAATGCACCCAAGTGTAACACACCAGTTTGGCTCTGATC